CTCAACGTCAGAGCGCACTTAACTATAAATCTCTCCAAACCGCCCTCTGCGCCCGGTGCCGTGGATAGAGCGCAGCAGACATCTGTCCCGCCTCAGTCCGCCGTGAGGACAGCGCGTGTGGGAGCTGCGTGTGTAGGACCCCGGAGCCGGACGTGGAGAACATGGAGCTTAAACGCCGTGTTTTTAACCTGTCTGTTCATCGTGACGTGTCGAGGACCACGCGTGTTTAACGCACTCCCGTGGATCTGTATCTGCTTCTGCCAAAGTGTCAGACTCTGCTGCGCTCTGTGGAAACTGATATTCTGCACCTTTTTTTTTTTTTTTTTTTTTTTTTTGCGCCTCGTTCCTGCGCCGGGGCCGCTGATGTCTTCATTGGACTCCTTTCAGTGGGAGATGGTGGCGCTCTCTCGGATTTCCAACGTGGAAACGTAGCATCCAATTAATCAGCGACTGCAACTGAAGCCCGGGGGGTGAGACAGAGAGAGAGAGAGAGAGAGAGAGGGAGAGAGAGAGAGAGAGAGAGAGCGGGCCACGGTGTCCAACGCCTACCTTTGGACTCCAGAGCGCGGGGAGGGCGCACGGTTTGGACCGGAGCATGAAAACTACACCTGGTGCAGTTTTTCTGACAGATTTCTGTTCGGACTTAAAGTGAATTTCAAGTTTGAAGGATTTTCCTTTTTTTTTTTTTTAAAGAGCGACTTCAACGAGCGGAGAAAAACCTGGTTCAATAAATGAGACGGGATTTCTGTTTGGATTTTTACACCGACAGCACAGAGAGTTCCAGGTCTGCATGGACCATATGTAAAGTAAGTGCAGACCGGAAACGGGTTTTTATAGTTTTTGTTTTGATTGTCATGAAATGATTCACACACACACACGGACATGCGTACTGGCAAATGTTTAGGTTTTGCATCGCATGTTTAAGCCTAGCATTACAGCAGAGTTAACATGCCATTAGTGAGGAGTCACGTCAGCTTCGGGGATCGCCATCTGGTCAATGGTACCAATGCGTACCATGATTTAGACCCGTGGTTGGTGCGTCCTTTTTTTTACGTGTTTTTTTTTTTGCAACAAGCACCTTTTGATAAATGACCGCGAACGCACCATCTCATGACTGTACTCCGACTCCAGAAAAGACTGTCGGTGATTCAGAAATGTTTTGGTTCTTTTACGCGCAATTTTAACGCAACAAATTCCTCCATTTTCTGCGTCTGTTTTATCTTTTCTGTGAAGACGCACTCTCCTGTTGACAAATGACCGCGAACGCACCATCTCGTTACTGTACTGCGACTCCAGAAAAGACGAGAAGCAGAGAGGCTGATTCAGAAATGTTTTGGTTCTTTTACGCGCAAATTTTACGCAACACATTCCTCCATTTTCTCGCGTCGGTTTTAGCAAAAATAACAGTTCTTTCAGCAGCGTTGTCTTAATGTTTAGCAGCATGAATGTTAATATCTTTATAGAGGAGGTGAGGATCAAAGTTATTACAACCACAACACGTTCTCTGACGTCACTCTCATCAAACTCCATGGAGTTGACAGACTTTGGATCGTTGACTTTCACACAGTCAGGTTTATCGACGTGTGTCCAATAAAACTGTCCTGCGTTGATGTGTTGCAGCTTTCCTCATAGGAACTGAGTCTAAGATGAAGTTATGGGATGTTTTGGCCACATGTTTGTTGCTCCTGAGCTCTGTCGCTACACGGCCTCTCTACCACAACACTCACCCCGCCAAGAGGACTTTCTACCCCGGCAGCTACAGTGATTCGGCGTCCCTGTCTGCGGAGGACGAAGAGCCAGCGTTCCAGCGTGAAGACCACATCCTGCAGGAGCTCTCCATGGAGGATCAATGTAAGGCACGCCGCATGTTTGTATCTGGTGATACGATATGTATCGCGATACAGGGGGCAACGATGTATCGCGATATTGCGATACTATAGGCATGACAATATATTGAGATTTTTTTCAAACCATTTAATTGTAGCAAAACTGTCATCAAAGTAAACACAGAATGTTGTTCCATCTTAACATCAGGTTACTAAGATCGGAACAGAGGTATCGAGACAGATGATAGATAGACCGACCAATCGATCAATCGAGTGATCGATCAATCGATACATTGTTTGATCTACATCTACATTTGTATTAATTAGGGAAGAAATGAAAGAAAAACAAAATGAACTAAAACCAGGAATATTTGACTGCTAATCGTTACCAAAACAACAATACAGTGCTGTGGAATATTGATATAGTATCGTGAATCCAAGTATCGCGATATATCGGCGTATTGATATTTTCTGAAACCCTAATAACAGCTGAGAAGCGCTCGTTACACAGTCGGTTTCCTGACTAATTAGACTTAAGACACGGCCGGTAAAGTGATATCCAGAGGTTGAGCCACGAGTGGAGAGTTCCACGTTGATAACAGAGTCAGTGGAGCAGGTTATCAGGAGGAAGATCTTGGGTTTTTTTCCCATGGTTTTATGGCTGCAGTGGTCAGCGTCAACACCAGGGAGCAGCGTGAACGGAGGTCCAAACGCCGGCCCTCGCCCCTCGCTCTGTTTACGTCCCCTCTCTCACTAACTCACGCAGGCTGGCGGTGTTTACCCGTCTGTCAAAAGTCAGAAATCATGGCATGTTTCAGAGCAGGCGGCGTGAACCAGGTCGCAGGAATTTTCAAGGGGAGACGTGAACCAACAGCGGAAAATCTCAAACACCCAGAGAGGGTTCTGTGTTTATGTTCCTCTGAGCAGGAACAGTGGGCAGGAATTTATTCTGTTTGGATCAGAGTGACACTGTGTCATCCTCAGGCTGCAGCTAATGCTGCCAAGAACTAGATAAGGAATGGAACGTTTAGACCGATGTTGGTGCTGTCACCACAAAGGTGACATCACCGATGGTGTGAAACCCAAGACCGTTGACTGTGCAGCGGTAGAGAAACGCAGTGGATCTGACGATGACGATGATGAGGAGTCCAGAGACCCAGACCGGACCGAGTCGGGACTCCACTGAGTCCAGAGACCCAGACTGGACTGAGTCGGGACTCCACTGAGTCCAGAGACCCAGACTGGACTGAGTCGGGACTCCACTGAGTCCAGAGACCCAGACTGGACTGAGTCGGGACTCCACTGAGTCCAGAGACCCAGACCGGACCGAGTCGGGACTCCACTGAGTCCAGAGACCCAGACTGGACCGAGTCGGGACTCCACTGAGTCCAGAGACCCAGACTGGACCGAGTCGGGACTCCACTGAGTCCAGAGACCCAGACTGGACTGAGTCGGGACTCCACTGAGTCCAGAGACCCAGACTGGACTGAGTCGGGACTCCACTGAGTCCAGAGACCCAGACCGGACCGAGTCGGGACTCTACTGAGTCCAGAGACCCAGACCGGACCGAGTCGGGACTCCACTGAGTCCAGAGACCCAGACTGGACTGAGTCGGGACTCCACTGAGTCCAGAGACCCAGACTGGACTGAGTCGGGACTCCACGTTCTCCGAGGCCTAGATGAACTATCCATCAGCGATGGTTCTATTTCAGCCGCTGCCACAGTGGGTTAACTTCACAGTTATGTTGACGTGACTTTTTGAGGTGTATTTTCTGATGCAACTCTGTGTAACCAGACGTCAGGAGATGAATTTGAATTCAAACCCAGACTTCCACCAACATCAGGATCGACTTAAATACATTCTATTAAAAAATATTTCACGTGGGAAAAAAGTTTAAGCCGAGACTGAACAAAGAGTCCTAGCGCAGGACAGTGGACGCGTATCAACGAGGGGCCTGACCCATCAATTTCACTCTGTGACCCACCTTTGGGTCAAGACCCAGCATTTGACTTGGCAAACACTGGTTCAGGGGCCCACATACAGCAAGTGTCAAGTGGGCCGGACCAGTACAATCATCACATAATTAACCTATAAATAAGAATAAATCCACGTTTTTCCCCCTTTGTTTTCATGAAGCAAAGAACAAATATATTTGATCAATCCTAATTATATGTGATTATGATTATTTTTAATTAATTATAATCAAATACAGTTTTACAAATATTTCTTGAAGATGAACATGAAGTGTTTGTGTATTTGTTTTATACTTAAAATTCATCAAGTGGGCCGGATTGAAACCCCAGATGGGCTGGTTTTGGCCCACAGGCCGTATGTTTGACATCCCTGCTGTAAGGTTTAACAACAACAACTGTTTGAAAAGAGACTTTTTTTTTTATTTTATTTTTTTTTTCTAATCCCTCCTGCGTCCCCCCCCCCCCCCCCCCCCCCCCCCCCCCCCAGCTGCGGCGTGTGGGGGCCTCAAACTAGCGACCTTCTTGCTGTAAGGCAGTAGGACTAGCAGCTTTTCCACCGTGTGGCCGATCAACGTTAGATTAATAACTATAATTAGAAAAGCTTTTTATGAAAATAGTTGAATTAATCAAACAATCACATCTGATTTAATGGATAATTATCCTGACTAATCATCATCTAAACTAGTTAACGTCTCAACCAGTTAACCATCCGACTCCAGTCCACTATCAGCACTGTAGCGACGCTGCCTGTCATTTGACCCACAATGGGAGACGTCTCGGGTAAATCAAAGGACAGGTGTGTCTAAACAAATTGGCCCCGGCTCATTTGGTGCTCAAGCGGCGGCCCCGATCAGCTGTGTGGTACAGGCGGATCAAATGGCCCCCGCGCTGCCAAGAGAGCAGGTAACAGAGAGAGAAGAGATAGGTGACACTGCAACGGAGAGGCCGGGTTAACCACAGCACCACCTGTCAGAGCGCACGCCCTCCTGCTGCTGCACACACACACACACACACACACACACACACACACACACACCAAGCTAATGTCACTTCATCTCAGAACAATACGTCCTGGTGATCTTTAAACACACTTCACTGCTGCCAGAGCTGCAGGCGCTGGAGCAGCAGCAACATAACTGTGTAATAGAAACAACGTGCAACAAAAGGGGGGGGCGGGGTCCAAGACCAAGGCCCCTCAGTCGGTCCTCATCACTTCTAGCCACACATGGTGGAGAGCTGTGATGCTGATGTTTCCAGTTTCCAGCAAACTTCACTTAAGACCGACCGTCTGTCCGTCCGTCCAACCATCCGACCGTCTGTCCCACTGTCTGTCCGTTGCACCCGGAGCGTGAGATTTTCTTTTTATTTGTGCTTTGAAGTCTCCGCAGTCTGGATTTACGTCCACTGGAGGTTTAAGTGACGTGAAAGTGCCGTTCCTTGGTCTGTGTTTACTTTAGCGCTGTTTTGAACGACGCACCGTGAAGGCAACACGGCTGAACAACTCAAAAGAATTCAACCCGTGCAGATGCCGATTTTTTTATTTATTTTTTTTATTGTAATTGAAATTCTCCGTAGTCGTTCTATTGACAACACCTGCTGA